ACTGCATTTTTTTTTTTTTTTTTGTATTGTCAAAACCATATATAAACTTTAGTGTTTTTCAGTGCTTAATATTTCATCAATCTGTAGCAAAATGCTGTTTGAAACACCGCCACCGCCGCCGGTCATCTGTTTTCGTCTGTTTTTTGTATCTTCAAACTTTCTATTTGATGGCTTACCAAAAAAAAAAAAAGAGAAAAGACTTTTAATGATACATTTGGAAATTAGAATCAAACCGATAATTATGCTTTTTTTTCCCCCCTCTTCTTTGATGTACATTTCGTTTCAAGTGGTAATTTGCAAAATAACAATTAACAATATGTTTCGAATGAAAAGCCAATATTATTTCCATTTGCAATATATTACTCCAAAAAAAAAAAAGAAGCAGTTTCAGTGATCTGTTTGAGTGCGGCAAACATTGACAACTGAAGTAAAACTGTTTCATCTGTTTTGGCGAATTCATAGAATCCTTATTGCTTAACTGTAATTACAGTTCAATTCAGCTCTACCTGTTTATATTCTATAAGCTTTCAAAAAACCTATTTTTCAAGTCAAATAGCATTTGAATACTTTTTATTTATATTAACCTTTACTCCTCCTAATTTCCTAGGAGCTCAAATGAATCAGTTATTAACAGCAGTAAAGACGATAGAAGTTAACGTGTAAATGAATAGTTAGTTAGTTTTTCTGGAAAAATTTTTCTAGCAACTACTTTTTTTTTGGGCTAACCAAAACATTTGCAGTAGTTTTGTGGGTATTGAAAGAAAAAAAAGACAATAAATGTGGGAATTCATAATGCCCAATTTCTTCTTTGATCTGTTTCTTCTTTTTTCTTCTTCAACTCGGAAAAAACTAAGTTATCGTCGTCGTTTTTTTATCGTCGTTTTTTTCTTCTTTTTTTTTTTCTTGTCATTTCAAATTTTCTTGTTAATCTGAATCGATCAACTAATAGGCTTATAATTTTTTTTTTTGCAAGAAGAATGTTTCGTCTACTGCAGTTGTATTGTTCTGATGTTTTTTGAAGTGTGTTTAAGATTTTTCATTTTTTTTGCTTAGAAAACAGCATAAGCATTATTGCTGCTTATTTTTCACTAGAGAAAAATTTTTATTTTTATATCAAAAAATTGCAACACTGACAAATGATCTTTGTTAATTTTTTATAGGTTAATTCATTGTGCACATTTTTTATAACTTCCTGAACATTTATGTCTATTTAGTAATTTCAAAATAACAATAAATTATAGAGGTCTAAAACTGCTTAGAAAAAAAAAAAAGAAAAAACTTGCCACTATTCTGTTTTTTGATTCTTTTTTGCATTTTTACTACTACCGTAGAAATAGTGTTGATTAAAATCTTTCTGATCTTTGCTAACATTTTGGGGGGGGATGGAGGTGGGGGGGTAGGGGAGGGGAAGGCTGAACCCCACAGCGCAGCATCAGTTCAATAACATTTAGCCAATTCAGCAAAAAATCACTATTACCTTAAACTTCTTTTTTTTTTTTCTAATGACTAAATGACACGTTATATTAAGCATAATGAAATCTTAGCTAAATCTTAGCTAATATTTTGATGAGGTATCATCACGACGAGACAAATTATAGAAATTAAAAACGAAAAAAAAACAACTTCAGAAACAACAGAGTAACATTACAGTACTGTTCCGGTGAGAACAGTACCTCAGATACTGTTAGTTTGCTTACCAATGCGGTGAGTTCTTTCATTAGCAGAAATACCAAATATCCAATAAAAAACAAAAAATTTTTGGTTTAAACTTTTTTTAGTTTATAGTTTA